GCCCCCCGCGAAGACCTTCGAAAGCCCCCCAGAGGCCTCGAGAGTCACACAGTCGGATCGTTGACCGAAGGAACCCTAAGTAAGGAACGAGGCCCCCTTTTCCCATCTGTTAAAGTTCGATTTCCCATCGAAAACCTCAGGAAAACCTAAGGCAATCTGTGAAACAATCAAAGCCTCAACCCTTCTATTCCTGAATCTCGCCCCTCTCTTTCCGCTACGGTGCAATCGGAGAGACATCTAAATGAACTGCTGTGCATCTGAGGCCTGCCCGCCGCTCAAGATGGACGCGGCAGGCAGGTGAGAGAAAGACAGAGCCTCTCTGGAGGCTCGGGCTGGCACGGCAGACTCAGTAACCAAGGCGAGGGCTGGCCACGGGGGAGAGAAAGGACTGCGGAAAATACGGGAGATCGGCTTTATGGACCAAAACCTCAACCCTTCTATTCCTGAATCTCGCCCCTCTCTTTCCGCTACGCTGCAATCGGAGAGACATCTAAATGAACTGCTGTGCATCTGAGGCCTGCCCGCCGCTCAAGATGGACGCGGCAGGCAGGTGAGAGAAAGACAGAGCCTCTCTGGAGGCTCGGGCTGGCACGGCAGACTCAGTAACCCGTCGCCCCATTCTTCGCAGCAGCGCTGCGCCCCCGGCTCAGCTCCGACACGAACAGGAAGAACGAACTGAAAACGACAACGAACAAGAGCGAGACCAGGCGGATGACCACGGACTCTTGGAAGCCCACAGGGACCTGGATGAAAGAGAGGATCACGAGGGGGGCCTCATGGAGCACCATATGGAAGGCCAAGACGAAGCAGGGATCCCGTCGCGAACCCACGTAACAGCCTGTGGCCACATCCAAGATACCTGAGAGCCCATCTGAAAGATCCCCGTCCTGGTCGCCTCTGGAAGTTCGGACATATATGTGGTTGAGACCAGTTCCTGGAGGTAGATGAGCATGACTTTCTGAGACATCCAACGACCCCTATTCTGGACGAGATGCGGATCATCCGTCTCCAGGAAGAGCTGGGTGGCGCCACCCGCTCGGAGAGAAGCAAGATCGAGAGCTCCTCTGCATTTTCCCCCCAGGTTGAGAGGAAGCCGCAACTCCCGGCAGAGGCCGTTGAACCGCTTCCTGAAGGTCTGGCCGCTCATTGGCCAGAGCAACGCCTCAGGAGGTGCGGCGCCGAAGATGCAGTCCAGCATCTCGACGATGTCGGGCGGCTCGACTCGGGCGCTCTGGATCTTGGCCCCAAGCGCGGCCGTCTTCGGGAGTTGGATGGTGAAGAGCGCGTGCGGCCTCTCGAAAAGGATGTCACGCGGCAGTACAAGCTGGGCCCGCTTTGCCAGCAGGAACTCGCTCGGGCGCATGATGCCAGCGAACCCCGCAGCGAGCAGCACCGCGATTCGAGGCCACCCCCACAAGAGGCAGAGGCCGGTCAAGGCCTTCAGGACCACCAGCGGCATAGCAATGTGGTGGTTCCCTGGCTCGAGGGCAATCCACTGGTATCCAAGGTCCCACGCAGCCCCGAGTAGCTTCCTGAGCTCTGGCGCCCGAGAGGCCACGGCGTTCACGGTGTCGGCAAACCTGCTGTAGGGGGCCTCCTCGCGCCACAGATACTGGCCAAACTCAACCAGAACTCCGTTGATGATGCGAGGGTCCCCCATTGTCTGCTCCAGCAAGCTCGCCAGACAAGGGTAGCCGGCAATCTCTACTAACCACTGGTCGAATTCAATAAGTAACTTTTCTCTGGAACGGCGGGTAGCCGCACGGATCGGACGCCCTGAAGGTAAAGGAACTGCACGACGATTAGCAAATTCTGGATCATGTTTAGCAAGACGAGATCTTCCAAAATGTAGCATAGCGGGGCTGGGGAGACCTCCAGCCGGCTCGCAAGTAGTTGCCAGCCAGACACGAGAAGAGGGTACCAGTTCTGCTCCAAAATGGTGCACCCACCAGCTTTGCGATCGTGCAGGTGTCAGTGATGCAAGAGCCCTGCGCGATGAAACACAGGAGCGAATTCACTCTTCTCCGACTTCACTGGGACGCGAGCCACTCCAGACGCCGTCCAGCGGCCTCCGCCCGAGCCCTGCCCAGGCACCCCGCAGAGGGCGGGAGCTGGGGGCAGGCGACGCCCCTCGGCAAGGGCGGTCCGCAGCGCTCGAAGACCGCTGCTCCCCAGCAGCAGGCAGACGAGCCGCAGCCACGCAGCGCAGGCCTTGGCTGCGGGTAGCCGCGTCAGCAGCCAGTCCAGCAGGTCCGCGTGCTCCAGCCAGTCAGGCCTCGGGCGGCATGCTGCGCGGACCGCCTGGTACCGCGTCGGGTCGTCTGCAACGTTGAGCCGCGAGGGGGCAAAGGAGTAGGAGGGGTAGAGGGACCCGGCGATCTGCAGGGCGCAGGACTTCTCCAGAGGGCGAGTCAACGCCCTGCTCGAGGACCGCCCCTTCGCCTGAGAACACAACGTGACTCTGGAATCAATAAGCGCAGCGAACCTACGATCTCCACCATTACGAATGAGACCCTCCAAGAGATTCACCACGACATTCGACTCCAGGATGTTAATGTGCCCCGGGGACCTCCAAGCCCATCTCCTGAGCTCCTCCCAAGACCCCAACATCAGCAGCTCGTTGATCACAAGCGGCTCAGAGCCCACCGGGGGCCGCATAGTGTCGCCTACCTCTCGACGCCGTCTGATAGCCTCCAAGTACCGAGCTCCCAATGCCACGACGACCCCACGAGTATATGTAGCAGTATATTTGGTAGCCGCTCCCTCGATAATCGTGTGCGTGTGGGCGCGATGGCGCCGTGTGTTAGGACAGCGCGCCGCCATCTCAGTGAACTCGGGAAAGCCTACGGTCATCCAGCGGAATTCCTTGCGGTAGACGACGACACCATCGAGGGCAGGGTCATGGTAGGCACAAGAGGCAAACCAGGTCTCGGCGGCTCCAAGCGCCAAGAGGCGAGACCACTCCTGCAGCCAAGCCATCTTGGACAGGCGGGGCTGCTCTAGCCCACCAGGAGCTTCTACGCGGAGCCCTACCAACATAAGTAGCATACAGCGGAAGGCCAGCAGGTTGCCCAAGCGCGTCTTGGGATCTGAGCGATTGAACCCGATAGGCTGACGGTAGGAGCGGACAGCGGGGTGAGCGGCAGGCGAGAACGTTGTACACGGGGGCTCCGCAGCAAAGGTAAGGATGCGGCCCTCATACAGCATCCACACCGCCCACTCCATCAGGCGGCACGACGATAGGTCATAGTGCCGAGAATACGATATGTCAATGACAGGCCCGACAAGGACACCCTGGGACGCGAGGTACCGAGTGAGGACACCAGAGCCGCCGGCGAACTCGATGAAGTCGAAGACCATGGCGATCCCGCGGCGGACGTAGGTGGGGAGATCCGACTCGACGCACTGCGCGCTCTCCATGCTGTGGGGGAGCGCGCCGGCGCTTCGTAGGACTCCACAGGCCCGGCTGTCCAGACGGGAATAGCCACCTCGACGTTCGCCACAGCGCCAAACGGCCGACGACAGCGCGGGCGAGACTCCCAACGTACAGATGGCCCCAGAGGAAGGAGAGGCGTCGGTGGCGTAGATGACGTCACTGAAGGGGACGGTAAGGTCCGTCTCCGCGGCGATAGACAACACAGAGGCCAGGCCAAGCTCGTCCGTGACGGCACGAGGGATAACATGATCGACGGTGCGGTCCTGGGCAACGAAGCTATATACGTGGTTGAGACAGACGAATAGGGGCCGACGGTAAGCGAACACTGCACCCAAGGACCCCACTAGTGTATCCACCAGCGCCACAGGGGCTCGAGGAAGCTGAGCAGCCCGAAGACAGAGCTCCGCCAACGGCAGTCGCCGCTCGACGGGCGCACCCACTGGTACGTACCCTTGATCTACCATTCGTGCTGAGGAGTCGACCTCAGCGCCAACGACCACGAAGCGCTCGGCGTCCCTGACCTCCTTGGAGGAGCTGCCTGATAACGAGGAATCTACGTAAGCCAAACGCCCAGCACGATCGAACAGCTCCAAATCCCGACGAGACTCGCCTGGAGGATAGGCGTGACGCCCAATCACAAGATAGTCGTCAATACACAAGCCTTCCACCACATCACCACGGGGGAAGGGGGCACGACCATCTATGAAGTTCTCGGGCGCAAGCAGGCCGTAGCTCCTGAGAAGATTGAGGTGGCCGCCCTGAGTGACGTCGACGGCCGCGTGGTCCCCCATGGGATTGGAAGCCAGAGTGCCGTGTACGAGCCCCGAGGCGCGCGGGCCAGCATCTGATCCCGCTGGCTCCAGAAGAAATTGATCTCCCAGGTAGGCACGACGTCCCAGACGACCTGGACGGCTCTCAGCAGCAGCGGAATGAAGACGTACAGGATCGACACCAAGGGACTTGTGCACTTGGTCTATACGCACGGCTGGACCCAGGACGTTAGTGGCGGCGCGCTCAGGTGTGACGTGCTCCTGATAGAACATATCCCGACGATCCGTAGACGAGCCCCGAAGACATTCAGAACCCCGAATAACACTAAGTTCACAGAGCCGAGCACCAGCAGCGAGGTGAGAGGCGGGCCCCCCCCACGATCTTCGCCTCCTGGCCGTTCGGACCCCTCCGGTCGATGATCAACCGGTCGCGCGAGGCGTTCTTCCACACGTTGAACGGGTTACACTGCTCGGGCCGCCACAGGGCCCTCGGTGAACCCAAGGAGCCCCACCTTGTCCAGCTTCTGGAAGAGGGCCAACTGCTGGGCCCGGGGGAGCTTGCTGGCGTCCCCCCACTGGTACGACGACGGGTCAAACCGGCTAGTACGCAGGACCCCCGGCTCGTCGAAGGCCAGGGACAGCGGAGGCTCCAAGAAATCCCCGATGGACCAGTGAGCGAGAGAACCCTCAAGGACCAGACGTTCAGGACAAAGAGGGGCGTAGGCTCCTGGGACAGGGTGAACTCGACGGGGGCCCTGAAGACCGTAGGGATCAACAGCTCTGAGATGATCTGAAAGCGCACGTGCATAACTGTCGTAGGCATCTGACTGCTCAACGCCCAATTCACCAACACTGTGAGAAGTCAACTCTCCATGCTCCTGAAAGGCACCAATAGCATCGCTAAAGAGATGTGAAGTAGAATCGGCTTTGCGACCGGCGAAGAGTGAGTAGGGGTTAATTCCATCACGACACCAGCTCCAACATATCAAACGCAGACGGTCCAGGCAAGCTTTTTGCACAGAAGACGCAGGTGACCGAAGGAAGGACAGGTCACGGGGCCGAGACGGCCGCCCCTCATACACGTAGTTCAAAGCGCACACGAGGACGAGGAGCAGCTGCTCGACCTTCGCGTCGAAGTCAGCGTAGCCTCCCTCCCTGCGAGCCGCCCCTTGCAGCCCATCAACAGGAGGAAGAGGAAGTGGAAAGACTGGCGCGGTGCGCGATGCCCCAGCGAGCTGCCGCTGCTGAAGCTGCGCTGCAGCGCAAACGGAGGCTCCGATGTACGATGAGAAGTTCGTCCTCAGAGCCCGCAAACGACGGAGTAAGGACCCGCTCCACGAAAGCGGTGCGACCACCTCGCCACGTTGCTGATCATGATGGCGGGGGTCGGCGGGCCCTGGCCAGAGGAGCCGTCCGTCAGGGGCTCCTCCTGTGTCCCACTCTCGGTCTGGGGAGGCCCTCATGCCGGCGATGCCGGCTTTGGCCTCCTGCGGGGCGGCCGCGCCTTGGCGCCGGCCTCCGCGGCCCCGCCTCCGGGGCCGAGCACCCCGGCGCCTTCGGGCTGCGGGTGCTCGGGGGCCCCGCGGGCTCTGGGCACCGGCGTCCGCCCCTGAGGCCGCTGCAGCTCGCTCCTCCTGGTCTCCAGCAGGTCCAGCTCCCGCAGGTAGGCGAGGTTCACCGTGGACCAGCGTGGGTTCGCCAGCGAGCTGAACTGTCGCGTCCCCACTGCGGACTGCCCGCCCCTCGCGAAGAGCGAGGCGGGAGGGTCGCGCTCGAACTGGTACAGCCACATCATGTCGAGCCTGCCCCCGTCGATCCTGGCCTGGTCCAGACCCATCAGCAGCAGCGCGGCAGAGTCCGCGGCCTCGGCGATCTGATTCATCCACAGGCGGTCCACGATGTCCGCCACCTGCCACGCGATCAGGGCGAGGTCCCGCACCGTGTTGGGGCTGCCGGGCGTGAACTCGGACCACCCGCCTGTCCTCTCGAGCCGCAGGCGGGGCTCGGGAGGGTCGTAGGCGACGCCTCGGGGCTGGCGCGAGGAGCGGCCCTGCGCGGCCATGGTCTCCATCAGCGACCTGGAGAAGCTGCCGGGCGAGGCTCGCCTCGCCGCGATGAGCGCCTCGCGGTGGGCCGTGCCTCGCACGCCGGCCCCGATGTTGCCGCCTCCGAGGCCCATGAGGTCGTCGTTGCCTCCTGCACCGCCTTCCTCGCCGCGCTGGCTGAAGGCTCTGGCAGCTCCCATCAGGGCGGCCGCGAAGCGCTCCATCTCCGTGCCGCCCCCGACCGCGTCGTCCTCGCCCTCCCCGGCGAAGTCCTCCCCAGTCCCAGGGAAAGCCCCTGCGGGCGCGCCCGAAGTCCGTAGACCGCGCAGCTCGGGCCCAGGAGGGCCTCCGTGACGACCCAGGACGGCCTGCCAGGCAGCTGGCGACTCGAAGCCCGCGGCTCCGCTGCGAGAGGGCGGCCCTGGCGGCGGCGCTGCACGGCCGAAAGCCGATGGCGCCGGCGGCGCGGCGAGGCCGAAGGCCGTCGGCGGAGAGCGCCCCGCGAGGGCGCCTCCACTCCCCAGCAGCGGAGCGGCAGCCACCTTCCCCGCAGCGGCGCGGGCCAGCGGCCCTCCAGGCGGGGCTGCACGCGGGAGGGCGGGCTGCGGCGGGCGCTGCAGAGGGGGCGGCCTCCCAGGGCGCCGCGGCGGCGGCTCGAGCGGCCCGTCCGACTCCGCGAAGCCGTCCCGCAGCACGCCGGCCACCTCCGCCGCCTCCTCCTCGGCAGGCTGCTCGGAGGCCCTCTCGACGACCACCACGGACTCGGCCTCCTCCTCCCCCGCTGTGAAGAACTCCGCGAAGGCCTCCTCGCCGAACTGCGAGCGGAAGGCGCGCGACGATTCCTCCAGCACCGTGCGCCCGTGCGGCCAATGCCGCGCGCGCGGGGTGAAGTGCCGAAGGACTCGCTGAGCGTGCTGCTCGTCCTCGTAGTAGACGGCCTCTGGTACCAGCTCCGTCAGCACCCCTTCGTCGACATCCACGAGGAGGACCTCGAACGACACGGTGGCCAGTGCACTGGCGGGGTTGGCCAGACCTGCGCCTCGGACTCTGGCCCTGACGAAAGGCCCTAGAGCATGATCCTCCTCCTGCTGACTCGCGGTGAGCTCGCTCTCCAAGATGCTGCCGCCTGGGACCGCGAGCATGAGACCACCTCGGCGCCGGCGTACCAGAGCAGCTGCAATCGCCACTCCGTCTGGAGCGCCCTCCTCCTCGTCCCGAAGCCATATGAGACGGGTGTAGGAGTCGGGCGCATCGCTGATAGCTACCACACCGTCGACGGTCCTGGCCTCCATTACAATTGATATCCAGCGAGCCGCCGACGATTGACAAGACTGTTCGGTGCCTGAGCCTGATCCTCGAGCCTCCTGCGAGCGGCGGCGTGGTCACGCCACCACCAGGCCAGGCCCGCGGCTGCCGTGGAGCAGCCCACGCAGCAGAGCACACAGCTGCCCCCGAGCAGGAAGGCGAGCACGAGCCCCCACAGCGGCCAGCCCTCAGGGGGGCAGGCGCACGTGAAGGCGGGTTGTGCCCCCACAGGCGGAGCAGGGCTGCTCCCAGGCCGTCCGAGCCCCGACAGCCAGTAGCCTCCGGCGGCGGCCAGGGGGACGAGGACGGCGGGGCCGAGCGCGCTGGCGCCCAGGGCGGTGGCCGCCAGGACCACGTCGACCATGCGCGGGCGCCCTGCGCGAGGCCCCCCCCTCCTTACGAGAGAAAGGACTGCGGAAAATACGGGAGATCGGCTTTATGGACCAAGGAACACGGAGTCCCTCCCCAACGAAAAGGGTTCCTTCTTCAGAGCCCCGACTGTAGAGAGAGAGAGAGAGAGAGAGAAAGAAAGATGGCAGGGCACGCCGAAGGCCAGGACCGCGGCCAAGACACGACAGACGACCACTGGCCACCAACGACGACCATTCGCCACCATCGGCCACCGTCGGCCACCATCGACGACAGGAGGAGGAGAAGGAGGAGGAGGAGGAGGAGGAGAACGAGGACGAGGACAAGGACGAGGACGAGGACGAGGAGGAGGAGAAGGAGGAAGAAGGAGGAAGAGGAGGAAGAAGAGGAGGAGGAGGAGCAGGAGGAGGAGCAGGACGAGGAGGAGGAGGAGGAGGAGGAGGAGGCATCGACGACCATCGGCGCCATCGACGACTGGCCATCGACGATCATCGACGGCGACCGCCGGCGGCGGCGGCGACGGCCATCGACGGCGGCCGTTTGCCGCCCTCGACCACCGGGGGGCTGCGGCGGCGGCGGCGGCCGCCGCCCTTTCCACCGCGGGCCGCGGCGCGGGCTTCGGCGGCTCGCCCGCGGGCGGCGGGGCGGGGGCCGCGAGCGCCCCCGCGCGCGGGGCGCCTGGGGGCGCTTGGCGGAGGCTGGGGGGCTTCCGCCGCCGTCGTCGTCGTCGTCGTCGTCGTCGTCGTCGTCGTCGCGCTCCTCTCCTCCTGCCGCTCCTGCTGGGGCGCTGCTGGCAGGCGTGCTCCCGCTCCTGCCAGTCCCTGGTCCTCCCGCTGCGCTTCCACTCGCCGCTCGGTCTCCTCCTCCTTCTCCTCCTCCTCGCCCTCCCCCTCACAATAATCGTCACCATCCACCACCATCACCAACATCACCACCACCACCACCACCACCACCACCACCATCATCATCATCATCATCATCATCATCATCATCATCATCATCATCATCATCATCATCATCATCATCATCATCAGCATCATCACCACCACCACAACCATCATAACCATCGTCATCATCGTCAGCAGCATCACCATCACAATCATCACCATCACCATCAACACCACCATCACCACCACCACCACCATCATCATCATCAGCAGCAGCAGCATCATCACCATCTTCATCAGTATCAGCATCATCATCATCAGCAGCATCAGCAGCACCACCATCAGCATCGTCATCATCATCAGCATCGTCATCACCATCAACACCATCATCATCATCATCATCATCATCAGCATCATCGTCATCATCGCAATCATTTCTCATTCGCATTACCATCAGCGTGACCATGACCATCACCATGACCATCATAATCATCATCATCAGCATCATCATCAGCAGCATCGTCATCGCCATCCTAGCCTTCATCATCATCATCATCATCATCATCATCAGCAGCATCATCGCCATCCTGATAAGCAGCATCATCGTCATCATCACAATCATCAGCATCGTCATCATCATCGTCAGCATCGTCGTCATTACAATAATCATTATCATCATTCTCAGCATCATCATTATCATCAGCAGCATCACCACCACCATCATCATCATCAGCATCCTTGTTGTCATAGAATTCATAACCATCATCATCATAATCATCATCATCGTTGTCGTCGTCATCAGCATCGTCATTATCACCATCAGCAGCAACAGCCTCATCATCATGACCTTATTTACGTACTCATACCCCATGTTCCCCTTCTCTGCCAGCTCGATGCCGATTTCCTCCTCGTCCATCCTCCTTGTCCTCCTCCTCCTTCTCTTCCTCCTCCTTCTCCTCCTCCTCCTCCTCGGTACCCCACTCCTCCTTCGCCACTTCCTCCTGCACCTGTCTTTCTTTCACGCCCTGTCGCAGCGTCTCGCCCGGGTGAATGCCCGACCCAACTGCACCTCTGCCCTCTTCCCTTAGATCCGACATAGCGAACAAACATGCAGCATCGTAAAAAGCACGCCTGGGGCCCTAGACACCATCTTTCTGCGTCACTGTTCCAGCCGGATCGATCTCCGAG